AATTAAATAAGACAGAATTAAAATTTTATTTTGAAAAAATAATTTATTAATATTTATCTAAGATATAAATCTTTTTGCACCAACTTATAATAATTATTCTCAAAATAAGTAATGGTATTAATATATTTTTAAGAATTTGCTAGATAAAAAGTTTTAATCATATATATTAAAGTTTTTAGATAAATTAAGACTTGATAGATATAATAAAGAATTAAAATTAGTATGAAAGTTTAATAAAATCTAGCATTTTTATCAGAATTCAATATTTTACAAGTAAAAAAGAATTAATTTAAAAGAATAAAAATAGTAAGATTAAAAAAAGCTAAATATATATACATAAAAAGATATAGATCTTATTTTAATATTATATAGTGCTAATTTATTATTATACATAAAAAGCAAATTATAAGAAAGAGATTATTTATCATATAAAGAATAACTTATAAATATTACTTAACTTAATTGAGATGAAAGAAAAAAATATACTCATATTTATATATAATATTAATAAGATATCCAATAAATATTTAGAATAAATGAAAAATAATAAATATTTATCAGATTATTCTAATTAGTAAAATTATATAATGTAATATAGTAAAATAATAATATTAACTATCAGATTTCTATTTAAACTTTTCTTAATTTTATCTTAACTTAATTTAGAAAGTTTTAATATCAAATAAGATTTTATCAGTTATATCTTCTCATATTTAATGATATTAAAAAGATCATAAATCTTTCTTGCTCTTTTTACTTTTTTTTTCTAAAGTAAGTTATTGCTAACTAAGTCTGAAAACTGTTTTTGAATTTCTTTATTTATCAATACTTAAGCTATTCATTTAGAATTATTTTTCTTATAATGATCATAATAATTCTCAAGTACTTTTCTGAAATTATAATATAACTTGATATCATTTTATAAACTTTCTAAAAGTATTTTCTTAAGATTAAAAATCATATTTAATATATTTATAAATAATAGATTTAAAAGAGCAAATTAAGAAAGTTATTAGTAAATTATAAAGTATTCTAATCTACATAAAATTTTAATAGCTCACTTATGCTAACCTTCTAATGAAAACTTACTTTCTAATTTTTGTTTCTTAGTAGATTTATCTGAATTAACAGGAATGAAAAAGTAATAATAATAAGAAAAGAAATAATAATAAGAAAAATAATATAGATTTGAAAGATGAGAATAAAATAATAATTATCAAAAATCAAGTTAAGATATATTTACTTGTATTGACTAATTTATTATAACTTACTTATTAGTAACAAATTGTTTTATAATAATATAAATATGTTTTAAAGATGAATTTGATAATAAAAAACAGGAAAAAAAAGTATAAAAATAAGTATTTGATATTATTATCAAGCATAAAAGTGCATACAAGAGAAGTTTACTTATCTTCTTGAATTTTATTAATCAACTTAATAATTTCTTTTGCTAGTCTAAAAGGTATTTGAATACTCAAAAGATTATCTTGTGTTAATTTAAGAAAAGTTAAGTTCTTGATTTTTTGAGATATTAATATATCTATTTGATTATCAATATCATTTAATCTTTTTTTCAAAAAGTTATTAAGTTCTTCAGTATTAAATCCTCTCACTTTCTTGATTATTAAAAGATCAGATAAAGGAATAACAGAAATACTAATGGAAAAATCTATAACATTAAACATTAAAAAAGTATTGTAGTATAAATGGAAAAAAATCTAATATCGCACAGATTGATCTCATTAATACAGATGATCACTATAAGTCATATTACATATTAAAAATTCCAACATCACGTGGTCATCTCATTTTATGCTAACATCACTAAGATTCTAACGAGACCCAACTGCATTATATAGGAAAAAAATTACTGCAACTTAACCGCGACTACATCGCATCAATACTATAAGAATGTAAAAGGAAAATCGGACCGGATGATCTTAAATGGAAACAATAATTAGCAACCACCCAATTTAGCATTACATCTGAAATTTTTGTTGTGTATTTGAAAATTAGATTACATTAATATGCGCAGATTGAACGATCCGATTTTCTATAAGTTTCACCGGTACTTAAATCGTAATAATAGCCTTCATCATCATCGTCGGAAAAACCACAGAACCCATCATCATCAGAGGATTCTGAGTTAGAATCTAAAGAATCATCGGGTTCACCTACCTCTTCCTCTAGTAAAGATTCGGTTTTCTCGCTTATATTATTATCCTCATTTACAGTTTCTGGTTTATCCTTTGAAATTGCTCCAGTAGATATGCTTACCTCTTCCACTGGTAAAGATTTATTATCCTCACTTATCATACCATTAGACAATGGGATAGAGGAAGCAGATGTTTCTGAATTTTTATTTTCCTTCTCACAAGAATTTTGCCGATCACTTCGTGAACTCAGTTCACAAAGTTGGGTTACATGTGTTAATATAGAATTTTTCTCATCATCCCGTAACTCAGCCAAAGGCAGGCTCACATCAATGCTATAATCAAAGGACACATTATCTATAATATACTGAATTTCCTTTTTTGTTAATTTAGATATACTGTCAGCAGAAAAAGGAATGAATGCGGTAAACTTTATCCATACCTATTGCATCAAAAAGTTTATAAAGCTTCTTTGCTTTTTCGATTCTCTTACGTAAAAGGCTATCAGAAGTGTCTGCGGGTAACTGTGCTTTTACTTCTTTATTTAAAATTCTACCAACAGTATTGGATTCTGGATCAACTTGTTTTTCCGATGCTATTTCATTACGTCTTTGAATAAGAGCCTTTCCAAATAGGCAATAACACGCGATAGCTTCTTGGGTTTTACAATCAGCAAGAATTATAGCATCACAACGTTTTTCATATAAAAGCGTAAAGTTAGTATTGCTGGGTTGAAATTTTGTTTTATTCGGGGTTGTAGAAGTCACGTCCCTATCTACATTACCATTAGCCGTGCCTCCTTCGGAGATAATAGAATCGGTATATTGTAATTGTGGACTAGAGTTTTCAGAAACTTCTAACATAAATTTTTGTACTTTGTTTTTATTAGATTGCGAAATATCTTTATCGTATGATAAAGGGTCTTGAGATCTGAACTTCTTTTCCCGATTTCTTTCTCTTATTTCGTTACTAATATTTTCCTTATACGTTGAATCCAGAAATTCATTAACCTCCCTATCCTCCAATAATTTAGTTTCTGTGCAGATAGATGACGCAGATTCTGAGATTTTCTCAATTTCGCTGAGATTAGATGTAACAGAAGTGATATTTACTACCTGTTGGGAGTATTGTCAAGATCCGTTTCAAAAGAAATAACATTTTGTACCAGATTTGGATCCACAGAGCCTATATCATTTTCTTCATCGGAGTAAGTTTCAATAGTTGAAGCGGATGATTGGCATGAGCCAGCCTCCGGTTGAGAAATTACAGGGAATTCTGAACAAGCTGAGAATGGCGAAATATCTTTTGTGGGAGATGCTTCCTGTTCGTTAGTGATAACCTGGATCTGTTTTTGTTCTAATTTGGTAACTCTGTCTTTAAGCTCAACATTTTCAGCAATAAGGTTTGCAGTATCCGTTTTATTTTTTTTCTCTAACTCTTCCAACCTGGTTTTGAGATCAGTGTTCTCTTCTATGACCTGTCTTAGCTTTACGTTCTCAGCCTCGACCTCAGTATACTTCTTTTTAAGTTCACTAATCTCGGCTACGAGCTTAGAGTTCTGTTCTTCTAATAAATCGATTTTAGATGAATCTTTAGATTCGCCCCTTTGGGCCTGTGTGTTTGCCATTGTTTTATATAAGATAGAGAAATATTCAAAAGCTTAAGTTAATAAAAATTACATGAGTACTTGAAAAAATCATCAATCACTTCGTGAACTCGGTTGACAAAGAATTCACTTTGCCAAAAAAATTAGATAAAATTCTCGATCATATATACATGAAAACATTGGAATAATCCCGAAAATACACAAGCGATTATGTGTGCGAAATCTGCCACCAGGGCTTCCTATACCCGCTTTTTTAATCAACCGTGATCGTGCCTTGATTCATATAAATATATTGGAAAATCACTATTTTATCAACCCTGATCTAACCGCGATTCAACCGTGATGAGTCGTAATCAGATATGTAATCGTTACACGGAAGAAACGCATTATAATGTTAACCTTGATTAATTAACCGATCGAAGTTCATTTAGCAGAGTCGAGTTCTCTCAATCAAAATTCGGAATTATCACGTGCCACACTTTGAACGGAAACGATTATTTTGCTAGTGAGAATCTTTATTATTTATCAATAGTATTAAAATTGCAAATTTGTGATGAATATAGAATTGCGAAATGAAAAAATATAATCAAGCCCTTATAAAATTTTTGCTATTTGTTGTCAGTAACTTTGGTTTTGTTACTTTTAGGAGTCCACCACGATTCATGAATAAGTTCAGCTTTACAATGGGCGAGTTTACTCATATCAAGATCATCACTACCGAAAATGCTGTCAAATTCACTACTTGTACTTTCTTTAGTTTCCATCATTTCGCTTATTTGCTCATATATATCCTGTGTAAAATGTTAAAATATATTAAAGATACAAATATTTTTGATGTCATTGAACGAACATAATTGTAAGTTTACCATGACAAACTTGATAATGTTTACAGAGAACTTCAGTTTTCCGATATGTTGAAGCTTCGTAGGTAACTCGAACTTTGGGCCCGGAAAGACAACATAGAAACCCTCAATTAAATCCTCGATTAACATCTGCCCACTCGTACCTGCAATCTGTAAAAAGGGCATATTGATTTTCTTAACCTCTACATTGGTCAGATTACGATTCAACAGACCATTTAATATCGATTGATTAATTCGAGCTGATCGACAACGGTCGCCAATTGCCTTGTGCGATGTTAAATTTGACGCAAACTCCCATTCTCCAAGGTCTACTCCTGATGGTGATAAGAAACGCACATCACACTTGCGATCCTTTTTATAGTCCGCATTTTTGCTCAATGGGCAGAATGACTCTCCCCTTATTTTAATATATAAAATTGTAACATAAGTAACTTGGAATACAAAACAATCAAATTTCATTTATACCAACCATCTTTGTTTTACTACCAAACTCTTCCTCAGCCCTTCAACAATATATGAACATGCTTTTAGTATTACGTCAATCTCTGTGTGTGCAGAATCCAATATATCACCATCCTCGCTTCTGTAAATACTATAAACATCAAATTATCAGAATTAATCACAAAGATAAAGAATCAAAGAAATATACAGTATAATAAAGTACTAACAAATCTAAATATATTTTGCTGATCTTGCGCACATAGCTGTTCACATCAGAACTAGTAAGCTTTTGAACACAAAATTCGTACGCTTCGTTTATTCTTTTTTCATTTACCATCTGTATAAGAAAAATTAATCAGCATGCATATTTGTGTGTACAGAACAAACAAATTCAAAACAATGCATGTACATTTTCGATAGTTGTGACAAAGGAGCTTTCTTCGTCTTTCAGGCCGGGAACATGCAACAAAGACATGTAATCATTCATCATGAATCTTCTATCTTCAAGAGAGAACCATTCTTTCATGTGCGCTGATAAATCAATTATTCGTGATGCACCATAGCGTAATGTAGCTTTTTCTATGGCTGATAATCTTTTCTTCTTTTTGATTTCCACCGCATTTGCAGATATATTCTCAGTGACAATTTCGCCAACGTTCCGTCCTGAGGGTAAGATCCAGCTTCTTTGATTGTTAAGGACGAAATCGAGAGACTCCTTCTGGAAGGGGGACATCTTCCTCGTCATTGTTATAACCATCTTCATGATCAGATTCATATACTTTGGAAGAATCATCATCATCTTGGGAGGAATTGTCATTATCCGATGCTATTAATTTCAGTGGAGTCGCTTTCTCAAGTTTGGTACCATCAGGCAGTATATCTCCCTAAAAGAAATTAACTCGTTACCTTTTGTAAAATGTACTTATTTTTGCGGACAAAATTTAAGTTATGTACCAACCCTTTTTCCTGATGTTTTCTTTTTTGGTGGAGGCTTTTCTTCATGAAATCTAACTCGCTTTGTTTGATTTCGTTCATCTTCCTAAAGGATTAAAATGGTAAAACAATTAGTTCCACGAATTTTCAACTTCTAGATAAAAAATCATTTCTATACCTCCTCTTTATCTCTTTTACTAGACACAATTGTTCCGCCGTTATTATCCCCTATATTGGTTATATTCCCATTCCCATGAACGGTCGCAACTATCGGCTGGTTAACATGAACTTGCTTTCGTGATCGTTCCTGATCCCAATTTCTTGCTCGTCGACGATCGGTTTTAGGTTCCTTGAAAAATTTGGGAAATTAGCACCATTCTCGATCTAATAAACCTCCAATAATCCAATTCCCTATCCCACCAGAACATCAGGCAACCAAGTAGGTCACCTGTGCCCAGTGGGTCCAGTGTCAGATCGGCAAGTAGCCTTTGAACATCAGGCAACCAAGTAGGTCACTTGTGCCCTGACACCGGTTTTGTGGCTCGGCAATTAGCCTTGAATGACAAGCAACCAAGTAGGTTCGTGTCACGCCACTGAGACTGTTGTGAAAGCTCCTGCGAGAGTAGAAACAAGTTTCTACGGTAGTAGCAGAGTAGGACTTCAACAAAAAGTATTTTCTATCTTCTACACGGCATTGTGAAGTTTCTGCGACAGTCTCCCCCACTCATTCATAAAAAAAAAGTTTACTTCCCAATTTATAATTATCAAGGAGCTTTTTTGCTAGCAACAAAGTGAAACAGAAAAAAATGACAGATCATGTGACTTCCGATCACATTCTGTCTTTTCGGAGTTCCGCCCATATAGATCTCCATTTTTGGAATTAGTTTAATATAATGGTAATATATATTTGGTATTACATGTATTAGTTTATTAATAATATTAAAAAGAAAAGATATACTTGATATTGATATAATAGATTGATTAGAGAATTCACTTGAGTAAAAGAAAGTCAAATAAAAATCTTTTCTATATATAATGTATATGCTGAAAAAAAATATAAAAATCAAGCTATATCTTCTAATGAAATAGTATCCTCTAATAGCAATACAAAAAATAATTATAAGAGTATAGTTAATAATTTAAGAGAGAAATATAATAAACTATTGTATGAGATTAAAGATCTGAAAAAAGTAATAATTACCTAGTTTTATGATTATAAAGCTAAAGATAAAGTTATAAAGTTTTCTGTGAAAGTTATTTTAGACTTTAATTTTATTAGAGAGATAATTATATATTCTACTAGTACTCAGATTGCATTTGACAAGAAAAGAACCTATCAATATATTCTTAATAGTTTTTTTAATCCTCTTGAGAGACTTTTCAGATATTATTAGATGATTGGATATTTTTATTTATATATTAAAAATAATTAGTAAAAAAAATATGTAATATATTATTTTTGCTACAACTAATAAAGAAAATATCAATTTAAATGATCAAGAAATCAGTTAGTTAAGTATATTAGCAAAGCTAAACCTGCAATTTAAAGATTTAATTATGAGAATTTAATTATAATCAGAATTAATCTTAATGAAAAATGAATTTTGTTAACTATCTAGTATTTTAAAAAATATATATATCTTATATATTATAAGTCTAACCTATTAGAAAATATCAAAGTATGATTTATAATTTATGTAAAAGTAAAATCTATAAATAACTTTGCAAAGAAAAATTAATAAATAAAAAAATACATATCTACCAATAGATATATTATTGGATTATATAATTCTTAAAGTAATAATATATAACTAATATAGTAAATTAACTAAAATCTGTAAAGAACTTTAATAAGCAAAATATACTTTAATGCAAAGAGTTCAAAACTATTTTTTATCTTGAAAATAACTTTATTTATAGTTTGAAATTTATTATATCTTTCATAAATAAAATTAGAAAAAATAATATTATAGAATTTATTATAAATTTGATATTTAAAATAAATTAGCAAAAATTTGAATTATTTACTATAAATAATAATTGTAATAAATATAATATATCTCTAATATATCTTTTTTTAGATACTTATATTATATTAAAAAATCAAGTATCTGATTTAGTAAATATAATAAATATATACTAGTATTTTATAAAAATTCTTAAAATATTATAAAATAAGAATATTGTTATCTTTTTGATATGAGTTTTGAGATGAGAGTGAATATTAAATCTAATATTATAAAAGTACGTGATAAAAGCAATCACGTACTTAAAGTAATATTTGAGAGAGTCTTTAAAAGATTTATTAACAAGAATGTATTTACTATTATTTTCAAGTTAATCTAAAGATAGGTAATAATAGTATTCTTGTTATGACTAGCTAAAATGTAGTCTAATTCCAAAAATGTAATTTCAAGACAAATATAATAATCAGTTTATTAATAAGATGAAATAATAAATCTTAATCAAGATCTATTCTACAAGAGAGATTTCTTAGAATTCTCTTAAAACTATAATTTACTAAAATACGAGTTAAGAACTAAACTCTTAGAACTCAAACTAAACTAAATAACTAATTACTTAACTATTTACTTAACTGTCTAATTTCACTAGCTAAGATATATTACTTTTATATATTTTAGAAATTATATGAATAATACTTTTATTATGATACTTATGCTAGTTTTGTTATGTTCTAAATACTACTTTAGCTAGTATCATAATATTAATTTTGTTATGATAACATTATTAGTTTTACTGTAATAGTTTTACTAACTTTGCTATGATAATTTTGCCATAATTATCATATTTGCAAAATCTTCTAAAAATATCTACAAATAATATTCTCTAAAACTAATATCCAATAAGATATAAAGAATTATTTATCTAATTATATTGTGATATGAAATGACCAATAAAATATAATGAACTAATTTCTATTAAAAGTTCATATCACAATAGGATCCTCTTCATTAGCATTTTGCTTTGCAAAATTTAAAATTGAATACCAAATTTCTATAAGACTTAGCAATTCTTCAAAATCATTATTAGTTATTCTTTCTAACTTAGTTAATGATAACTTTCTTAAGTTTAGAATTGCTTGTTCTGGAATGTGCTGAAATAATTTGCTAGCTCTATTAGTAATCTTCTAATATCAAGAGATTAGATTTTCAGTCATTACTTGCAAAAGCTTGTTATATAAAAATAGCTTTTCTCTAGTTGAATCTGTAGCTGTAATGGCTTCTACTATTTCTTGATCTGATTAAAGTATGTTATAATTAACATTTCTACTAGATAGTATTGCAGTCACTATTTCTAAGATAATATCTTCCAAAATGATTTTTGCTCTTGATTTACATATTGATGATATCTTAATAAAGAGTTTGAATAAATAAAAATAAAAAAAATAAAGTCTATTAAATAATAAAATAGAGTTATTTATAATAAATAAGATTCTACAGATAAATGTGATACAAAATAAATATAATTAATTAAAAGATAATATAATATAATTAATTTAAATTAGATTACAAAAATTCTGAATTAATATATTTTCCTGAAAGATTATATATAAGAGAGTTTTTCAGATGAATAGAATTATAATGTGGGCTAATTTTTATGCCTAATTTCCATGCTAAGATATGTAATTCTATAATTTTGGTCATGTTATTATAGATCCAGGGGTTGGTATAATCTTATACTATATCAGATAATTATATAGTCATACAATTTCTATTGGTACTCTTTAAATTAATTTTATTTTTGTGTTTATTTGTTGTTCTACTATTAATTTCTCTTCTATTTTCATAGTGAAACTGCACTTCTTTGTTATCTATTTTAATATTATTGATGATATAGTTTCTCTATGAATTTCTTTAGCTTGTCAAAGATAAAGATGTCATTTTACTATTATTATTATTCACTTTTTATTTTCCTTTTATATCATCAAAGTGTCAAAAAATATTATTTTCTTGAAAAATCACTACTTTTTCTTATTTATTTTGATTGTTAAGCTATAGCTGCCATTGGAATGGTGTTTGATTGTTGTGAGAATAGTGATTTAGATATTAAAATCAGTGTTGAGTTCCTTTTCATTCTTAAAACTTGAAATTTCAAGAATCCAAGAGAATGAGAAATAATTGTGACATTATGTTATTATTTTTCTCATTACTTTCATTTGTAATAGTCCATGAGATGCTGATTATATTCTAATCTTGGCTATATATTTCTTTGTTGATATTCTTGTTACTTCTTCCATTTATTTCTTGAGTAAAAGATAAGTTATTTTTATCTTCATTACATTCTTGATTACCTGACTGATGATTGATAGATTGGGTAACTTTATATTCTAAATACTAATTGGTTCTGATACTTTCCAGAGTCAAATCATGACTTCTAGGATTAGAGCTATGCATTTTGTAAAGTGATGTCAGACTTTTTGAATATTGTAGAAAATGAGAAAGAAACTTCTCTTCCTTTAATTCAATATGTTCTCAAGAAGACATAAAAAGATATAGTTCTTCATCTTTATTTCAATAGTATCCAAAATAAGTAGTAGAATAAGGAATTTTCCATCCTTTTCTTGCATCAAGAGATAGAACTTCTTCTTCTTTTTGAAAATTAATTTGTGATGAATGAGCAATCTCTTCTTTATTTTTTTCTGTAAGATTGATAATAAACTTTTTTTCTTCATTATTGATGAAGCATAATCTACAATCTCTATGATTTATTTTTTTTTGTTCCTACATCAATGAAAGTAATAATTTTGTAAACTATACTGGTGATCTTGATATTGTTGTTCTAACCAATTCTCAGTTAAAATAATTCTTTCAACTTCTAGGTATTAATAGCATTGATGATTGATATAAGAAGAATTATCTCAATATTTAAAATTGCAAATATGTAATACTCTAAAGAGTTAATTATAAGTGATATATTTTGGATGATAACTTTTAAGATAATGATATTCTTCTACTGATAGGATATTAAGGCTTTAAGCAGGTATGTTAGTTATTTGATTTATTATAAAATTGATAGAGTTTTGCTTTTATTTGATTAGCTCTTTATACTGGTAAAAGTCATGACTTATTAGTACTGAAATCTGATTTATCAGGGCTAGAAGTATTTAATTTTCTATAATAATTCTAGGTTTTAATTTATTATTCTTAAGATATAGCTTTAGATGATCATCATTATAAGAATTTTTAAGAATTTTGTCATCTAATGTTCTTAATTTATAGGTATCTTTATCAAAAATTTGATAAATGTAATATGATCCTTTCCATTTCTGAGCAAATTTTTCATGGTGCCAATGCTGAATTTTCATCCTCTTCATTAAGACTTTATCTTTGATAAAGAAAGATTGATAATTTTTATCTTGTTGGTAAGATTCTTTTTGTTTTTGTTGGGATTTTTGTATATTTTATTGAGTGATAGATCTGTCTAATTCCAGTCTATCTATAATAGTGCAAGTTCTTTTGATCAATTCATTTAAAGTAATATCTTCTTTATTATTAATTGGTATTAATTTAAGATCTAATGACATGATAGCTTGTCTACCATAGGTGAAATAGAAAGATATAAATTTTATTAAACTTTATCTTATTGTTCTGTAAGCAAAAAGTACTGAAGATATATACAGTGTGTGATAAAAAAACTTAACTATATTAAATTCATTATAAATTCATGAATATTG